TATGATATAGATTATTGCAGTTTATGTAGTTTATGTTTAAGACATGATTTGGATATTGTACATGATTGCCGTTGATTATTATAGAGGAGCACCTATGTATTTACACTTACTGTATGATTTAGAGAACTGTTGCACATTGTAGTTTATGTTTTGTTTTTGTGTTGTAAATTGAAATAATAAAAATTATATCAAGAAAAAAATAAAACTCCTTCCCTTTTTTATTCAATACATGAAAGGAACATTTAATATTGACACTAAGCTTTGAAAAAACAGCTCACAGGACACATCACGTCCCAACAATAAATACAGTATATAAAACTAAACCCCTATGGTTCTTGCTCTGAAGTAAAAAGCCATGGAAAACCAGCATTTAAGGCCAAAATATTCCACTTCATTTAAATGCGATGTTATAAAACTTGCTAAGATATGAACCATGAGACAAAGGGAATGGATCTTTGCAGAACTTCAGAACTTAGGGAAGACTCAGGAGTCAGACTAGCATCTTCCAATAATTGTCAGACTTTGTTTTTTTTTCTTCTTTTCTACAGGGACACACACACACATATACCAATGCAATAATTACTGGACACTTATCCAAACTTCTCCATTTCTCTAGAAAGGTCTTTGCCAACTACTATACAATATAACCATTTATTGGGGGGGGGGAGTTTAAAAAAGCAGAAAAGCTTGCTAGTTGGTATCAATTCATTCCTTGCTGTAGCTACGTGTCTTTTAAAACATTCTCAGACATAAGCTACAAGATTATGCATTTTTTTAAAAAAAGTAAGCCTAATTAAACATAATGGGATACAGCAGTTTCAAGTTCTGGACTAAGGACGGGCATGAACCAAATTATGAACCAAAGTTCATCAGAAACTGAACCCGGTTCGTGGTTCACAAGCCTCTGCTTGTGCCATCCCGCCCTCATGAGCCCCCATAAACCTCCTGTGAATCAACCAGGTGGGTTCACGTGGTTCATGTCGGTAGATGCGCTGACGAACCTTGGGCCACCCAGTCTCTCTCAGCCTACTCTATATCAGAAGCTTATTATGAGGGTAAAATGAAGGAAATGATATATGCCACCCAAGCTCCTTGGTGGGAGGGACAAGATAAAAAACGCAAGGGGGAAAACCAGAATTATCACTGTGACTGCTGAATTGTTCTTATAGTATACGCACTTGAGCTTTGCATAGAAATACTGTATCAAAACCTGTGCAGCTCTTACAGTTCTTAGCCTGTTGGCACAGTTCTTAGCATGCTGGCAAAAAAAAGAGGGAGTGAAGAAAAACAGGTAAGTGCCCTTGAAGGACAGAAGTGCACAAAAGTAAAGTTGAGTTGAAGTACCACATGGAAGCTGACAAAAGATTCAAATGGGGTGTGATGCAACTTGAGTAATGGGAAGAGATGGAACAAGAAGTTAAAAAAGGAGAAGTGCTAACCAGTAGAACAGAAATTATTCAGTTCTTAGGTAACTGGAGCACACAGACAGGGTAGATTTTGGTAGTGTTGTAAATAAGATCATGACTCAACAAGAGAGATGTCTTCATGTTCTGTGTCAAGGTGCAAAGTACATCTTGACTGAGAACTGTAATAAGAATCAGAGCCTCACAGAGTTGCAGCCTTGGTGAAAACAAAGTTGGTGGAATCTTTATGCTAAAATCCAAAAGATTAGCTCCTGGATAACATTACAAATGTTGTACAGTCATTCCAGGCATATTCTACAGCAGTTAGATTAACAGTGACAACCTAAACACCTGGATCTATCTAGTTGCACCCTTGTAAGCCTGCGGAGGTAAGTGGGCTTCGAAGGATGTGACTCTTCTTGGAGAGCACTGTTAGGTTACTCCAGATCAGTGCTATTTAGTTTGTGGAGCACAGTTTTCTAATCCTTGATGTACTTCAGATAGCCTTTGAGACTACACAATGAAAATAAAACTTTGAAGAGTCAGAAGTACCTCTTAAACAGAGCAAATATGAAAACTTCGAAGAATCCTCCAACAGTGTGTGCACGCTTCTCACTTGTATGCACAAACAACTACAATGGATTGTGCAGTAGATGAACTTTCATTTAGAAGCCTGTCAAGCAGCCTCCCATGTAGTGGGTGTAGGGCATGAAAATACAAGTCCACAAATAACAAGCAAACCAGAGTACCACTCTTTAATACATCAAAATTAAGAACCACTTCCCTAGTTGATAAGAGTGACAAGGTTAAGAGGAGGGGAAGAGTTACAGAAGCCTGAAAACTAGAAAAAGTGACTGGACAAAATTCTAAGGCAGAAGATTCCTAAAGTTTACCTCTTGCTCTGTAAACAGGATTTTCTATGTTCATTCCCAGTCCTAGCTCAGTTCAGTACACTTACGTTGTATAGTGCAATGCCAGTGGACCAACAGATACCATAGTTAACCAAGATACCTTAGAGATTTGGATTTAAATCCCTTCTCTTTCTCATTAGACAGTCACTGGCCCCTGCCACACGGGGGGGGGGGAACACTGGCAAAGGGCGGCTTTTTAAAGCCAAACCAAAATAAACACGCCCCGCG